ATAAAAATAAATAAATATATAATAAAGATATATACACATACATATACATGTATATATATCAAAATTTTATATTTAATACAAGGATAATGACCTTTTTATTATTTTTATTTTTCTCTTTTATTTTTGATTCTATTGTTCAAAAGTAGTGGAGTAAAAAGATAATGGATTTTGATTCCATTGGTTAAAAGTAGATGAGTAAAAAAAATAATGGGTTTTGGATGTTAGTTTTTTTTTATATTCTAGGAATATGATTACATTGCTATATATTGGTGAGAATTTCCTAACATATAGTAAACTTTTTATATGTGGCTGCCAATTTCTCATTCATGTGTTGTGTCTGACATAATTTATCACTTAGAGTTCTCTTTATGCATGTGATAAACTTTGGTATAGATTGCTCTTAATGTACTGAGCTTTTGAAACTCCATAATGTGCCCTTTTTTCACGATTTTTTTTTTTTTTTACTTGATGGAGAGCATTGTAAAAAGTTGGATGTAAAAGTCTATAAAAACGTAATATTATCATTTTCTTTTACCCTAAGCAAAGCTAAATGGATTCCTCCAAAATCTTTCTTCTCATTCTACTAATCCCATTTCTCCATATGGGATTTTCGTCTTACGTTAGTGTAGGTGCAGAGTCAGACACACTGATGCAGGGTGCCAATATCCGAGACTGGGAACATTTGACTTCTGCTAAGGCCATTTTCAAGCTCGGTTTCTTTAGCATTTCTGACAGCTACTCCGGTCCAATCAACACAGAGGACCGTTATCTAGGAATATGGTACAACAAGATCCCAAACGAGCCGGTCTGGGTTGCCAACCGTGATTCCCCGCTCCCAGACTCATCCGGTTCACTCATCATCGACGCTGACGGCAAACTCAAGATTTCGTACGTTGGAGGGATGATTACAGTGTCCAATGTTTCCATAATGTCCGGAAACAACGTGGGTGCCACGCTGTTGGATTCTGGAAACTTGGTGGTACGTGAAGTTGACGGAAATGGAAGCTTTGGAGGTGTGTTATGGCAGAGCTTTGATTACCCCACGGATGTGCTTGTGCCTGGAATGAAACTGGGGGTCAATCTGAAAACCGGGCATGTTTGGAAGCTCACTTCTTGGTTGAGTGACAAGGTCCCGGGTTCTGGAGCTTTTGAGCTCGGCCTGGACATTAATGGCTGCAATAACCAACTGGTCATTTCACGACGGGGAAAGGTTTACTGGACCAGTGGAGTCTGGAAAAATGGGAGTTTTGAGAAGGCACCAGACATGACTAAGGAGTTTGGTTTCAAATTGGTGTCAAATGAGAAGGAGAAGTACTTCTCTTACTCAGCTAAACACAACTACAGGTTCACCAAATGGACGCTGGATCTCCTGGGCCATATCGAGCAATCCTCCTTGATATATGACCCGTCCTTCTTCATACATTACATGCCCATGTATACCTGGATTGGGAGATACGCTTCTACTTTAGAATGTGACCCCTATATTGGGAATTATCCCAGGCCGGTTTGCTTGAAGGAAAACCCGGTTTCTTGCAGGAAGAGTTCTGATGTATTCGTGCAGACAAGAGGGTATTTTAGAGATGATAATAGAAACATATCTGATGTTGAGAATAGTGGAAATGGTTCGAGGTTAGCTCTCAGTGATTGCCATTCCATCTGCTGGAAAAATTGCTCCTGCACCGCATATGCTTCGTCTTCTACTGATGGAACTGGCTGCATTTTGTATACCAATGCCGCCCATGATTTTCAACTTGATGAAAATGGTGAACTGTACATCTATCGTCTCCTCAAAGAACACAAAGGCTAGATACTGGTTAATGTGCGTTACTGCTGTTTTACTGTCATTCAGGTTTTCTGTGTGTTTGTGAATGTGCCCTTTGTTCTTGAAGGGTGCAGTTTATGTAACCATGTTTACTATCATTATGAAATAAAAATGGACATACAGCTTGTCCTGATTGTAGTAGTATATGAAATACAGAAAAAAAAATATGAGAAAATCTGATTGGAGTTCCCTATCATTTTGCCTATATAATATTCAAAAGTGTCATTTCTTTTAGACTTAGAAGTAGTTACTAGTCTTGGGTAGTCAAAGCTAAGCTTTCCAGATATTTATTCTTTTTTCAGCTTAAACACGAAATGAACAAAAAGTTTAACTCAGTGTATGGATAAGAAGCACGGAACAAGTAAAACATTGAAAGACTAACCAGACGGCCTGAAAATCTAGTTATCCAGGACATACAGCTTCAGTGATGTTAAAAGCTTGCTGTCATAATACAGCTGTAGTGATGAACCCTAGTGACTTGCAATGATGAAGCGTGTGCTCCATCTCAACTAAAAGCTAGTTGAATTGCACATTAATGGTTATATGTGCAACACAGTAGCTTATCGGGTGACCTGATACCACATTGAAGGATGTGTTCCATCTTAACTAAAAGCCTAAGCTGATAGTTGGATTGCATTATATACAATGTTCTAAATTAATATGTTTAAGGGCTTAATTGTAACTTCTAAAAATTTAAAGGCTTAATTAAACAATGTTGTAACTTGTAATGTTGGCATATATATATATCATGTACCTCAATTTAATAGTACAGTACCAATTCAATACTTAGAAATTTGATTGTATACACTGAGGCAGGCCTTGTGAAATTTAGTGAAAGACTGTTTGGGACAGAGCTAAGCCACGGAGTCTCTCTTAAAATGGAAACTCTTCTGTCTGTTTCCCCTCATCAACAATACTAACCATCCACTAACAACATATTATTACTAATGTTGGATAATGAAAGAAACTCAACCATAATGAGGGTGTGGACCAGAGTAATCATAACCAGCAAAGGATTATAAAGAGATGAACCAAGTTAGCTTGTTTGGTTTAAACTAAGAAGATCAATAGGCCGTTTCTATAGAATCGAATTTATAATATTGTAGTTACTAAGTCAATAATTTAATTTGACTAACTTGGTTGGAATTGCTCCTAACAACATATTATTGTAGTTTTTGTTGTTTGGAAAATTAATTATAAGAGCAATCTCAACAATGTCATACTCACCTATATGTTGATGTAGTTAGTTTTAACAAACACTTAATTGGCTGCCAATTTTTCATGCATGTGTTGTGTCTCACATAATTTACCATTTAGAGTTCTCATTATGCATGTGATAAACTTTGGTATAGAATGCTCCTAATGTAGTGAGCTTTTGAAACCCCATAACGAGTCCATGTTGGGTTCTAGGTCTCTATTTTCGCCATTTTTTTTTTTTTTTTGTAGTGAGAAATTATATGATAGAGAGCAACGTAAAAAGTTGGATGTAAAAGCCTATATAAACACAAGCTAGGAATTGAAATTGAAATGCATCCAATATAATCATTTTCTTTTATCCTAAGCTAAATGGATACTTCCAAAATCTTTCTTCTCATTCTACTTATCTCATTTCTCGACATGGGATTTTCGTCTTACCTTAGTTTAGCCGCAGATCGGCCAGACACACTCATGCAAGGTGCCAAAATCCGAGCCCGGCAACATTTGACTTCTGCTAAGGACATTTTCAAGCTTGGTTTCTTTAGCATTTCTGCCGGCTACTCCGGTCCAATCAACCCAGTGAACCGTTATCTAGGAATATGGTACACCAACATGCCAAACCAGCCGGTCTGGATTGCCAACCGTGATTCCCCGCTCCCAGACTCATCCGGTTCACTCATCATCGACGCTCACGGCAAACTCAAGATTTCGTACGTTGGAGGGATGATTACAGTGTCGAATGTTTCCACAATGTCCGGAAACAACGTGGGTGCCACGCTGTTGGACTCTGGAAACTTGGTGGTACGTGAAGTTGACGGAAATGGAAGGTTTGGAGGTGTGTTATGGCAGAGCTTTGATTACCCCACGGATGTACTTCTGCCTGGAATGAAACTGGGAGTGAATCTGAAAACCGGGCATGTTTGGAAGCTCACTTCTTGGTTGAGTGACCAGGTTCCGGGTTCAGGAGCTTTTGAGCTCGGCCTGGACGTTAATGGCGGCACTAACCAACTGGTCGTTTCGCGACGGGGAAAGGTTTACTGGACCAGTGGAGTCTGGAAAAATGGGAGTTTTGAGAAGGCACCAGACGTGACTGAAGGAGAGATGGTGTTAGGTTTCAAATTCATGTCAAATGAAAAGGAGAAGTACTTCTCTTACTCAGCTAAACACAACGACATGTTCACCATATGGAAGCTTCATCTCCTGGGCCAAATCGAGCAATCCTTCTTGGTAATATTTAATATGAGAGAGCGTATCTGGACCGGGAGCTATGCTTCAGAATGTCGCCCCTCTTTGGAGAGGGTTTGCTTGAAGGAAAACCCGGTTTCTTGCAGGAAGAGTTCTGATGTATTCGTGGAGACAAGAGGGCATTTTGATGATGGAAACATATCTTATGTTAAGGATAGTCCAAATGGCTACAGGTTAGCTCTCAGTGATTGCCATTCCATCTGCTGGAAAAATTGCTCCTGCACAGCATATGCATCTTATTCTACTGATGGAACTGGCTGCATTTTGTATACCAATGCCCATAATTTTAAACTTGCTGCAATTCATGAATCGTACATCTATCGTCTCATCAAAGAACACAAAAGCTAGATACTGGTTAATATAATTTTTCTGTAAGCTAGCGTTACTGCTGTTTTACTGTCATTCAGGTTTTCTGCATATTTGTGAATGCGCCCTTTGTTCTTGAAGGGTGCAGTTTATGTAACCATGTTTACTATCATTATGAAATAAAAATGGACAGCTTGTCCTGATTGTATGAGAATCTGATTGAATTTTGTTAGGATCAAGCGCAAAAGCAGTTTATGTAACCATGTTTACTATCATTTTGTCTATAATCTTCAAAAGTGTCACAATTCTTTTAAACTTCAAAGTAGTTACTAGTATTGGGTAGTTAAAGCTTTCCAGTAACACTCAAAAAAATTTACAAAAAGTAGCCATGGCCTTGATTTGAGATTTAGAGAAGTGAATACTTAATTCAAAGGAAACCACTAAAAAATATAAACTTTATATGCTGCGAAATATATTCCTTATTATTGGCTTAAACACAAAATGAACAAAAAGTCTAACTCAATATTGAATGGATAAGAAGCATGAGTAGCATGGAACAAGTAAAACATTGAAAGACTAACCAGATAGCCTGAAAATGTAGTTATCCAGGACATACAGCTGCAGTGATGTTAAAAGCTTGCTGTCATTATGTTTGATGCAGCAATTAGTCAACAAAATATTCTCCCCCACAGATTATGGATCCATGTACTGCTTATGCTTCTTGACCATCCACACAATGGAAAATTCTATGCTTTAGCTTTTCGCTTCCCAGGCAAACATTTTCGTGCAAGTGACAATCTAGACCTCGTAGGCAAGCTCCTTTCGTCTTCACTATCATCACTATCCAATACAATCACTGCTTCAGATATTGGTAATCCTATTTCATGTTCCTTAATATTTGTTTCTAGTTTTTCCTCATGATCTAGTTTAGGCTGTTTCTGATCCAACTGAAAATGATGATTGTTACTTTCTTGAACATGAACCATAGGTTGCAAAGGTTGCCTTTGCAGCTTCACACCCAGCTTCTGTTGAACAACCTTTGCAGAATACTTTCCCACATGCCCATCAAAATCACCAGCTTTGGATATTGCATGCAAGGGTGAGGGTTTAGAATGCAAATTAGCCTTAGAATCAGCAACGTTGTCGAGAGAAATTAAATTCTCCTTGTTATTTCTCTGAGATGAACCCAATGATCCCAAAGACATTTTCCTGCCAGCTAAACCTAACCTTTTGTGCTTTGTGGTGGCAAATTTGTTTAAGGTTCTATCAACAGCGTCTATGCAGCCATGACCAGTGGTTTCTGGGCCTTCTGGCAATAGGAGACTATGACATGAAGCAGAGGAAGGAAACTGATGGGGTACAGATGGATGGGGGATGGTATGCATTTGCTTGCCACTCTTCTGTTCAGAATCATCATACTGTAGTGACTGCTTCCGCTTCAAACTTATATCCACACTGTCCTTTCCAAATTCACTACCACCGGGATTGGCATGTTTCTCCGTATTGCTGCTATCTCGAGTAAGGGGATCAGCAGAGCTGCTTTGAGCCTCAAGATGGGATGCACATTGATCTGGCATCAGATCATCCTTATTATTGGAATTTCTTGCATCAGATGAACCTGAAAATTCTGGTGACATATTCAGCTCAGTCCCCCATAACTTCTCATACTCACTGGGTAATCCTATTGCCTTTTTGTTCAATCGTCCAGCTTCAATAACTCCCTTAGCAGAATCTCTCTTCTGCCTTGACCCTCCAGCTTCAATATGATTGTCTAAGAGATAATGAGCAGGGATTTCATTTGCTTCCTTAGTATTGTCTCCATAGTACTTCAACGCCCCAGCTTCAAGCTGATTGTCAGAGAGACAAGGAACAGGCAATCCAGTTACTCTCTCAGTACTAATTCTATGTTGCTTTGATCCAGAAGAATCCAGAGACAACTTTCTGCTAACTCCACATAATCTATTTTGGCTTAGAAAGCACTGAATTGCATTAGATTTTGAAGCATCTGGTCCCTTATTCTCAACCTGCAGCTGGTGGAAAATAAACATCAAAGAGCTTACAAATGGGCATAACAAAAACCAGCCAAGAAGTGAACTTTACTTTTTCCATGTCAGGACTAATTCGAGTTTGAATTTCTTGGTGAGAAACAGAACCAGCATCTTCACTTGCTTGTGCCCTAGCAAACTTTTCTGTCATGGATCTCGCCTTATGATTAAAAGCTTGTCTATTGTACTTGTATTCCTCACTCTGCACACCATCCCTAAATCATAGTCAAAATCTAGTAGGCACCATCCTCCATTTATCATTTTCCAACCAAAAATTTATACTTACCGCATCATGCATTAAGCCATCATCAGGGTTTGGTTCACTTAACAACAATCCAATGCTAGTTAGAACAGTTGAAATATTCAAAGATGGCTGCCATGCACCCTACTTGATTGAAACAATTAATTAAAATGATAGAAAATAACGAATAAAATAAATCTTCAAACTCCACAATGTTACATTAGCATCAGTTGCTCTTAGAATAGTTCTCATCTACCAAAGAAATCATCCATAAACAAGTATGTATATCTCATAGCATTGTGGTAGAATCAGCGAAATTAGAATTTTAAAAGGAATATATGATTGTGTATTGAAAAGGGGTTAACCTTCGGAGGAAGATTGAGAATATCCAAGCAAATTCGCCCTCCATTGTCTATATTCGGATGATATATTGGTGTGACCAACGTCACAACTGGAGGCTGAAAAGGATACCTAAAACGAAACAAATCTCAAAACTCAAAGCCGATAAAAGGGAAATTTGTACCCGGTACACATATATCGACAAAACCTAATTCACAGCTCCCGGATTATCATAATTTGTTCATAAAATTACCTTTCAGGAATTTGAATTTTGAGCTTAAATATCCCGTTAGCATACACAGTTCCTTCTGGGCCTTCAATTTCTGCAAAATCAGGAAACAAAGCATAGAACACTTGTTACACTGGCGCCATAAACATAAACACATAGTAAGATAAAGACTTACGGGCGTCAATGGAGGAGAGAGAGGGCGAGGAGGAAGACGAGAGAGAAGGAAAAGAGGCGCCATGAGGCGGGTCGGAGAGGAGCAGCTTCAGCTCCCTTTGCATTCGAAGGTTCAGCCTCGCCGCTTGCGCCATTTACTCCAACCTTGATGGCTTTTCGGATTTCTGAGTTTCATAAAATGGTAGAGAGGAATTTGGAGGGAAAGGGGTAAAAACCGGAAAAAGGAAAGAATGGGGGAATTCAAAACAATTTGTTGAGAGTGGGATTTGAACCCACGCCCTTTCGGACCAGAACCTTAATCTGGCGCCTTAGACCAACTCGGCCATCTCAACTTTACATATTAGGTATTAAATATTTTCCTTATAAATATACAATTTCAATTACCTTTCACTAAATGACAAAAATTTTACCACTGAAGTTTTTTCAGAGTTTCAAAATTTAAAAAAAAAAAAAAAAAAATCAAAATTTTTGTTCTCTTTTTGTTATATTCTTTTTTTTTTATACATTAAAAAATCAAAATTTTTGTTAAGCTGCCTACATGCATGAATTCCACAGTACATAACCCATATCAAACCAGCTAATAAAATTAACAACATTGTCAATATGCTAAAACTTTAAAGCAAAAATTGAAACCAAAAACTCAAACGATTACTGGTCAAAATTATAGCTTGGTACCAATTTAATCAGTGATATCTCATTTTATTAATTTTTCGATGTTAATAGAAAACCTGACTAATAGTGAAAAATGGCAGACCTCCTGATTTGTTGGTGAAAATTGTGAGAAGCTTCAAGAAAAGGAGAAAATTGGTATACATCAACTAATGAAATTAGCAAAATTGTCAATATATTCAAACTTGAAAGCGAAAATTATATTGAATCAAAAAATCCACATCTAAATACCAATGTCTTCTCCAAAACGTCCATGTATAACAGGGAAAACTAATGTCTACAGAAGCAACAAGGTGTTCTGCAAAGTCGAACAGAGATTCGAAGCCTTGGGCAAGACTGATAAAAAACAGAATGAAGTTATGGTGTAGGAACCATATATTCAAGCAATCAAGTAAAGGGATGCAGGTTTAAGAACAAACCTCTCAAGAGTCTGCATGAGTGTTTGAGTACACCTAAATAAAATTTAAAAAGAAACTTCATGTAGCTGATTGCCAGAAAATAAAGAACGGACGCTAACCTGAGCTGATGATATATATAGCAAAGGCTTTGAGGTCACAGTTAATGTAATAGCAGCTAACATATATAATTAAAATGGCCATTCATTATGAAAAGCCTCTCATATAAATGTCAAGAAATTAAACAAGGAAATTTAATCAGACAGCAAATGTCATGATATATGTTGCTCCAGAAAGTGTGGAAAGGATTGGAGCTAACTGCTAACTATATTAACGGATTTGATCTTCTGCAGCAAACATAACCATCATTAGAAGAGGTAAAGAACGCGTGTTATGCTCATCAGCCCTCAGCTCGAATTTATCATTGAGTTTTACCATAATGCTAATCACTTTTGAACTGAATGCCCATCGCACTTGCAACTAAAATAGACACACGGCAATCATTTTTAAAAAAATGGTCAACATGGATGTGACCAATAACTACCCTGATCGGGCGGAGTTAAGAGATATTCCCAGTTCTGTGGAGGGTCCACCGCAGATGACTCCCTTTCTCAATCTTCTCCTGGCCGGCGACACCCCGGCGATCATCCACCACCTCAGTAGAGGAGGAGGCGAATGCTCTAACCACTCCAACTCGATCTGCAACTCCTCCAACCACTCAAGCTTCCACTCACTAATTTGATAAAATTTCTCTCAGAACGAATTGAATTTGTGCCATCAAACTTTAACAAAACTACAAAAATTACCACCGAGTTAACATTTTCTGTTAGTTTGGACAGCTATAATTTGGAAAATTTTAAAAGATTAAGGACAAATTAGGAAATTAATTACACTTTGCACAATAAAAATAACACAAAGTACAATCCTTTATAACACACAATTACACCTAACACATTTTTTATTCCCGTTATACTCCTACCTTCATTGGCTTTTATTATATTTGTAAGAAAAGATATATTCCTTTTTTTTTTGCTTAAACACAAAATGAACAAAAAGTTTAACTCAATATTGAATGCATAAGAAGCATGAGTAGCATGGAATGAACAAGTAAAACATTGAAAGACTAACCAGATAGCCTGAAAATGTAGTTATCCAGGACATACAGCTGCAGTGATGTTAAAAGCTTGCTGTCATAATGTTTGATGCAGCAATTAGTCAACAAAACATTTCTCCCCCACAGATTATGGATCCATGTACTGCTTATGCTTCTTAACCATCCACACAATGGAAAATTCTATGCGTTAGCTTTTCGCGTCCCAGGCAAACATTTTCGTACAAGTGACAATCTAGACCTCGTAGGCAAGCTCCTTTCGTCTTCACTATCATCACTATCCAATACAATCACTGCTTCAGATATTGGTAATCCTATTTCATGTTCCTTAATATTTGTTTCTAGTTTGTCCTCATGGTCTTGTTTAGGCCGCTTCTGATCCGACTGAAAATGATGATTATTACTTTCTTGAACATGAACCATAGGTTGCAAAGGTTGCCTCTGCAGCTTCACACCCAGCTTCTCTTGAACTACCTTTGCAGAATACTTTCCCACATGCCCATCAAAATCACCAGCTTCCGACATTGCATGCAAGGGTGAGGGTTTAGAATGCAAATTAGCCTTAGAATCAGCAACATTGTTTGAGAGAAATTAAATTATCCTTGTTATTTCTCTGAGATGAACCCAATGATCCCAAAGACATTTTCCTGCAAGCTAAACCTAACTTTTTGTGCTTTGTGGTGGCAAATTTGTTTATGGTTCTATCAACAGTGTCTATGCAGCCATGACCAGTGGTTTCTGGGCATTCTGGCAATGGATGGGGGGTGGTACGCAGTTGCTTGCCACTCTTCTGTTCAGAATCATCATACTGTAGTGACTGCTTCCACTTCAAACTTATATACACGCTATCCTTTCCAAATTCACTACCACTGGGATTGGCATGTTTCTCCGTATTGCTGCTATCTCGAGTAAAGGGATCAGCAGAGCTGCTTTGGGCTTCCAGATTGGATGCACATTGATCTGGCATCAGATCATCCTTATTATTGGAATTCCTTGCATCAGATGAACATGAAAATTCTGGTGACATATTCAGCTCAATCCCCCATAACTTCTCATATTCACTGGATAATCCTACTGCCTTTTTGTTCAATCCTCCAGCTTCAATAACTCCCTTAGCAGAATCTCTCTTCTGCTTTGACCCTCCAGCTTCAATATGATTGTATAAGAGATAATTAGCAGGGATTTCATTTGCTTCCTTAGTAGTGTCTCCATAGTACTTCAACTCCCCAGCTTCAAGCTGATTGTCAGAGAGACAAGGAACAGGCAATCCAGTTACTCTCTCAGTACTAATTCTATGTTGCTTTGATCCAGAAGAATCCAGAGACAACTTTCTGCTAACTCCACATAATCTATTTTGGCTTAGAAAGCGCTGAATTGCATTAGATTTTGAAGCATCTGGTCCCTTATTCTCAACCTGCAGCTGGTGGAAATAAACATCAAAGAGCTTACAAATGGGCATTACAAAAACCAGCCAAGCAGTGAACTTTACTTTTTCCATGTCAGGATTAATTTGAGTTTGAATTTCTTGGTGAGAAACAGAACCATCTTCACTTGCTTGTGCCCTAGCAAACTTTTCTGTCATGGATCTTGCCTTATGATTAAAAGCTTGTCTATTGTACTTGTATTCCTCACTCAGCACACCATCCCTAAATCAAAGTCAAAATCTAGTAGGCACCATCCTCCATTTATCATTTTCCAACCAAAAATTTTTACTTACCACATCATGCATTAAGCCATCATCAGGGTTTGGTTCGCTTAACAACAATCCAATGCTAGTTAAAACAGTTGAAATATTCAAAGATGGCTGCCACGCGCCCTACTTGAATTGAAACAATTAATTAACGAATAAAATAAATCTTCAAACTCCACAGTGTTACATTAGCATCAGTTGATTTTAGAGTAGTTCTCATCTACCAAAGAAATCATCCATAAACAAGTATGTTTATCTCATAGCATCGTGGTAAAATCAGTGAATTGGAATTTAAAAAGGAATATATGATTATTGAAAAGGGTTAACCTTTGGAGGAAGATTGAGAATATCCAAGCAAATGCGCCCTCCATTGTCGGTATTCGGATGATATATTGGTGTGAGGAAAGTCACAACTGGATGCTGAAAAGGATACCTAAAATGAAACAAAATCTCAAATTCCAAAGCACATAAAAGGGAAAATTGTACAGGAAATTAAAATCAAAATCAAAAGCAATGTAAGAAATCGCAGGGAACACATATATCGACTAAACCCAATTCAGTTACTTACACAGCTCCAGGATGATCAAAATTTGTTCATAAAATTAGCTTTCAGGAATTTGAATTTTGAGCTTAAATATCCCGTTAGCATACACAGTACCTTCTGGGCCTTTAATTTCTGCAAAATCAGGAAACAAAGCATAGAACACTTGTTACACTGGCGCCATAAACATACACACATAGTAAGATAAGACTTACGGGCGTCAATGGAGGAGAGAGAGGGCGAGGATGAAGACGAGAGAGAAGGAAAAGAGGCGCCGTGAGGCGGGTCGGAGAGGATGAGCTTCAGCTCCCTCTGCATTCGAAGGTTCAGCCTCGCCGCTTGCGCCATTTACTCCAACCTCGATCGTTTTTTGGATTTCTGAGTTTCACAAAATGGTAGAGGAATTTGGAGGGAAAGGGGTAAAACCGGAAAAGGAAAGAGTGCAGGGGGTAAAACGGGTAATTCCAAAATGAATTGTTGAGAGTGGGATTTGAACCCACGCCCTTTCGGACCAGAACCTTAATCTGGCGCCTTAGACCAACTCGGCCATCTCAACTTTACATTTTTATTGTATTAAACATTGCTTTTATAATAAAGCTTCAATTACCTTTTTACTAAATGACAAAAAATTTGCCACTGAAGTTTTGTCATTGTTTCAACATTTTAAAAAAAAAAAAAAAATCAAAATTTTTGTTATATTTATTTTTTTTTGATACATTAAATTTTCCTATGTTCTCCCTTACATGTACACTCGGTTCACAATGGGTCTTCATTATCTCTTATAGGTCAATATTTTTCAATAACTAACTTTAGAGTTTAGAGTAATCGGTTGAACCAATTGAGCTAGTCTCGCACGTAAAATTATATTTCTTTAATACAATTAGCATCGTTGATCTGAGATCAAATCTAGTATATACTTTTTATGTGGACGACATTTCACTATTTTAAACATTAATACAGTTCAAACGTTTTATATTGAATTTTTTCGAATTAATATTCATAACTTAAAGTAAATATTTTATTAAATACAAACAAATGTTGAACCACATATATATACTTGGTGTTGCTTGTGGTTTGTGGTTCACTTTTGAGAAGAGAACATTTTATTTAGTACACACATACACAAATGAAACACCTGGCCGGCCTCTTTTACTTGTGCTCACATACTCACATTTCAACATCATAACATTCATATGATGACACTCTTCTTTCACCTGTTGTGTACCCTACCCTAAAGTTCCATGATCAAGACAATAGCATCTTCACCTCATCCCAATCACACTACCATATATCATATATACCTTTTTCCCCCCAATGACTTATGTTCCCTTTCATTCCATCCACTAAAAAATAAAATTCACTACTTGAATTTTCAATTAATAAAAATTATTGCGTCATTTTCATTACTTTCCTTTGATTGTTTAATTTTTTACAAAAGCTGTGTATCTGAATTCCTAAATGTTAATCAACTTTTTCATTTATCTAAATTTCTGAGTGTTAAGTCTCCCTTACTTTCAAAAGTAAGTCTCGCTGAGTCGCTATTATATCATTATATTTACAATTTACTCATTTTTCGATCTTTCTCATTTGTTATTCCATTGTTCAAAAGTAGGAACAAATATATGGTAATAAGTATCAATCAAATTTGATAATAAGGTATAAAAGTCTCTAATCAAACATCACCTAAATTTGTAATTAGACCCAACATATTTGCAAAACTTGATTTAGGTTTTTGATTTTACTTTGTTTTAATATGTATACCTCCTCTAGTTTTGACCACATAATATATAGTTTATTGTCATTGGTGAAATGGATAGAGGTGAAATGGATGCAGTAAAGTATATGAGCAGTACGTACATACATGATATATCATTGTAGCCAAAAACAATTTGGCTTTCCTAATTGGTGACATAAAGTGGTCCAAAAATGCAGCTGTCGATTCTATAGCTTGCTTAATTAATTATGTCATGCCAGCAGGTAGGACTTGTCAATTATTTTTAAAGAAAGTAAATTTAATCAATCGTTATACTGTGCACCAGAGCGCACATAGCAATGTGCGCCCCACGCCTTCTAAAACGGTACGTTGTTTTGTTAATTTGCATTCTATTACATAATTCTGTACATTTTAAACATGGGGATTTTTAGTTATAAAATTCGGTGTTTTCAGGTATAAAATTTTGTGTTTTCGGGTATAAAATTCTGTACATTTTATTATATAATTCTGTACATTCGACACATGGATTTTTTTTAAAGAGTTAAGAGTTTATGTATATTATGTATTATGTTAGATTATGTGTATTATCCTTTCAAAAAAGATTATGTGTATTCAGTTATAAAATTCTGTGTTTTCAGGTATAAAATTCTGTATATTCCATTATATAATCCTGTACATTCGAAAAGTGAATTTTTTTTTTAAGAAGTTAACAGCAGACACGCGAAAAAGTACAAAACGATGTCGTTTTGGGCTAGAGCGCACAATGTGTGCACGGTATAATTTGCCCCTTCGAGCTTTTTTTTTTTTTTTTTTTTTAATGGATAAAAATAATGATGAATTTAATTAATCATAAAGTTCTTTCAACTCTTATATTTTAATTACAAAATTCAAATATTGTGACATTATTTTAAAAAATAATTTTATAATAGTCACCACAGTCCTTTAATTCATTACCAAAAAAAACAAAAAAAAAAAACCACAAAATATTTGAGTTCAAAAATCAATAGCAACCATGCAAGAGATCAAAATGAAAATTTATTAGACTTGAAACATACTTTAACTATTCAATCAACACAAAATAAGTTCATAAACTTTGTTTTATTAGTAGCCACTGCACATGATGCAGTGTTGATTTAAATTTTTATTCCTTGGACAAAAATTTGTACCACTTTTCGTCAATTATTGTTATTGTCGAATAAATTTTAACATGTGGTGGTGTTTGAATTGAAATGTATAGGCAACACTATGTCCACGTTTAGGTTGACGCTAATATTTTTAGATGTATAAGTGCATTAACGAAAAAAATATTATTCCTACAAAATTGGAGAAGAACGATGCTGTACTCCATTAACCAATGCCTATAATTTTATTATAAAGCATTTGACATTTCATTTGGACAGACCTTTTTCTTTATTGAAGATTCCGATCTCACTGCACTTTAGTCATACCCAACTTCATCAGTGGGAACTAATTAGGTGTCTACTATAATATATGAAAACTTGCGCTTAATCTTTGGCATTTCAATATTTTTAATTCTACACGTGTATCATAAATTTAATTAAGAATGTATTTAATCGAGACTTTTGTAGGATTTTATAAACTTTATTTTTGTAAATTTTATCAGAGTTTGTTAAAATTTTGTCATAATATTTATAGTCTTTTGTATTTAAAAGGTTTACAAAAGTTATTAAAATTACAATATTACAACTTTTTTTAAAAAGAGAAATTGAAGGGTAGAAGTTACATCAAAATCACAAGTCTAGGCCAACACAAACTAACAACAGACTAATAAGTCTCAACACACTTGTGTATATATATTAAAGTTCCATATTTAATCCATGGACAATGACTTTTCTTTTTCTTCTTCAGTTTTGATTCTATTGTTCAAAAGTATGAGAGGAAAAAGGTAATGAATTTTATAATTTATTAAAGAATTTGAATTCAATAGTAAGATAGCAAAAGTAGACAAATAAACATGTTAATGAGTATCTCCCGTGATAAAGTATAAAAGTCGCCAAACAAACATAATATTTTAATAACTTTACTATTATCTCTATACAATTATTATTCCATGGAATGGTCCACACATATGTGTGAATCACGAATAAAAAAGTACATTTTTAATATACTAAAAGTACATTATTTGCACACTAAATATATATTATTTGAGAATTGAAGGTGTATCATTTTATATATTATCAAATAATATATATTTAGTACATGTTTTCAAAAAATATATATATTTAGTACATAAATAATTAGTATATATTTTTTGAATACAAATAATTAGTATTATTAAAAATCCACATTTTATTAATTTTATACAGAAAAAATTGCCATCTCTATAAGCTTCACTCCTTCGGCACAAGATTCCCTTGGTGAACAAACCCAATTGACTCTGATCTTCTGCTTCAATGAAAGTTCTCAATTCAGCAAAAGTCAATTAATTTTGCACCTAAAAACCTGATACAATCTCATGCCAAATAGTCACCGCCTCTATTTATAACTACTTACTCGATTTACTGAATCACAAAAAGTTACTACCGTCCTCACAAAAAATCAAACCCATAACCTCTCATTTGAGAAAGTCAGTTCATACCACTAAACCATAAAGTCATTGGATTAATTAGAGCGTATAACTAGTTGATAACATTAGTCATTAGTTGATTGTAGAAAGGTGTTTGGTAAATTAGTTGTTAGCTGATAACCATTTGGTATAATTTCTATTTTCAAAAAGCTAACTGAAAAAATTGCTTTGAGTAGCTTTTTGAATTTTAGCATTTTTAAGTTACAAAAAAAAACAAAAAAAAAAAACTAATTAACCAAACACTTATATTAATTTTTTTAACCAAATCAAACAATTAATAGTGATCAAATAAGTTAAAATTAAATAATCAACTAATTATTTTACCAAACAGGGTCATTATCTTTCACAATATAAGGACTCTATTTTATATAAGTAATGCATTTCTTATGTCTAATTAATTTTAACATTTCACTAGCTCTAAGCCTATCATACCCATGAAGTCTGATCATCTCACATTTTTAAAAGTTGACCCTGGCATATAATTAAATTTGCAACTCACCGCCATTTACATTTCATTCATGCATGAAAAGTGGCATGTCACATTCACATCACATAAAAAATAATTTATTTCATCAAAATAACAACATCAAAAGAAGCTCACTCACTGCTACCGAACTTGCAATTGCATTGTCAACCTTTCATATTTTGCAATAATCATTCAATTCCAATTGATGAGTTGGCTTTTAAAAGAAACATACATAAAAATAAATAAATAAATAAATAAATAAAGCAAAATATAAAAGCCTTGTTCGATTGCAATTCCAAAGAATTTTAGCACAGCGGATGGCCAAACAATATATATAATAATGTTTCCCTAATTCTAGCAATACAATAATTCATATAATTAATTATTACTCGATAATATAATTAATTATAGATCCTCAATTACATCGTCACAATAGCAACACTTTAATGGAGTTTAATTTATGTCAAGTGCTCAAAAGTTTCACATCATATATATATATATACACACACACACACACACACACACACACACACACACACACACACACACACACACACATATATATATATATATATATATATATATATATATATATATATATATATTGCGAATGGAGCGC